CAGAAATGAGTGCAGATTATTCGGCCTGTCTACTTATCAGCTTTGAAATGCTAATCTAAGGTGATGACTACCTCATATTTTTATGTTTTCTCTTAGCCAAGATTGTAATTTCAAATATTATCTGATTATATTCTTCCCTTGATGAGTTCAAAGGAAACAAAAGGCAGTAACTAAGATGCAGGCTTTAATTGCAGGAGGAGGAAAAAAGAAAAGACTCTTCAGAAGTTTCATGAGGCAAAAATCAGCAACAAATGTGGTTTCTCAGGAAATAAGTTGTCATACCATAGAGTGTGTGCAAATGAGTATCTTCCACAACAAGAAAGTGCTTGCATGCTGGCTGCAAGATCTGGAACTTGTTTCAAAGAACTGAAACACACACACACACAACCAACCATCACAACTGAAACCCAGGGTACTGGCATGTGCTGGGTTCAGCAGTAGCAGTCATTTTTCTCCTTCTCAGTAGCTGGTGCAGTGATGTGTTTTTGACTTTCAGCCTGGAACAGCGCTGATAACACCGATGCTGCTCAGTAATGTTTACTCTGACCAAGGACTCCCTGAGCCTCATGCTCTGCCAGGGAGGAGGGGAAGCTGGGAGGAAGCAGAGACAGGACACCTGACCCAAACTGACCAAAGAGGTATTCTGTACCACAGCACATCATGCCCAGGATGTAAAACTGGGGTCAGTTATCTGGAAGGATTAGATCACTGCTCGGTCAGGCTGGGTAACGGTTGGCAGGTGGTAAGCAGTTGTATTCTCTTCCCTTGTTATTTCCCTTATCATTACTATTATTGGTGGTAGCCGTAGTGATTTGTGTTACTCCTTAGTTACTGGACTGTTCTTATCTCAACCCTTGGGAGTTACATTCTTTCGATTCTCCTCCCCACCCCTCTGGGAGCCGGGTGGGAAGGGGGGGGAGTGAGACTGAGGCTACGCAGTTCTGATTTACGGCTGGGCTTAAACCACGACATGACAGAAGAGCAAACCAGTGGTGGGGGTAGGGAAATGTCAGTTTCAATTGGCATTGGAGCTGTTTGGGTCAAAATCACTGTAGCAAAGTACTAAAGCCTGGGTTAGAAGCCCAATTTCATTTCTAAATGCACGTTCATTTCCAAATACACATTTATTTCTAAAGTAACTTTTAGTATTAGGTCTAGTTTTATCCAGGACTTCTCTCACTGTGGAAGACCAATCTCCCAGGTAGAAGAAGTAATATTTAAGTCACAGTACTTGTTTATTTCAAGCTTGATACCAAACATATTTCAAACAATCTTAATGAATCAAAAGCAGGTGATGGATGATATTTTAGGTACTAGAACAGTATATTCTAGATCAAGAGAGGTACAGACTGGAGTAAAAGGAGTGCAATGAGGCTAATCAGAGATCTGCAAAGCATAACCTGAAGGAAGATTAAAACCATTAAGGGCTGTGTACCCTAAAAAGAAGACAACTCAGGGGGGTACCTCAAAGGCTTCAGACACAGAGTAGAACAGAATCTTTTCCCCATACCTGGGACATACAAGACAAGTTACTCAGCTATCCTAATTACAAGAAGAACAATTCAGGGTAAACTTCAATAAAACCTTTCTACAGCAGAGATGAGGAGACAGAATAGATTAGCTGAGCATCTCACTACCATTGGATAAATATTTGTCAGGATTAATATATAGTTGATCCTGCTTGGGGCTGATGGATGAGTTACACGACCTCTCTGATGTCCTTCCAGATTATTTCACCACGATTCTGTTATGCAGTTGCTAACAAAATCAGGAACTGGATTTTATAACTGAAAATGATGTTTCAGAGACTCTTTAGGAACTCACAGCTGGTACAAGATAAACCTAATTTTCAGATAGCACAGAGCTATTGGTTTCCCTGATGTTGCAATCACCATCTTTAGGTAGCTGAGAACATACACAGAGGTTGAGGTTATTTCTATTACTCAGCTTGGAAGCCAGTTCTGAAGGGTGGTAGATTAACTGCATTGCAATTGTGCTAAGGAGCATTTCAGCAAAGTTATATCTGTTAAAAGCACCCTTGAAATGCAGAGATCTTTAAAGCTGTCCCCTTGAAAGACTTAATTTTCGTAGAAGTGATAAAGGTTTAACTAACACAGCTTGATACCCAACCTGGGAGATATCGGCGAAACAAATACAGAGTTTAAACACCATTTCGGAGAACTTAAATGCAAGATATCCTCCAAGTCATTTACTGGCAAGTCTCCCAAATCATTCTTGCTTAATATAGAATCAGAGAATATCTTGAGCTGGAAGGGACCCGTAAGGATCAATTAATTTCCTGGCCGAGTAAGTTATTAACACCTTTAATGCAGCCAGAAGGCTCCCTTGAACCAGATTACGGAAAAACAGAATCTTCAGCATTTTTGAGATGGGGTTCATAGCATCGGAAGATTTAGTATCTTTTAAATAAAAATTAGCTCTGCTTGTAGGAGTCATTTGTCCAAGGAAAGTATTCTAGAAAGAACTGGTAATAACTTTAAAGACTCTATCCTCCTAATGATTCTTGTCCTGTGTATACACTGACCACCGGTGCTTCTGAACATCTGCAACTTGAACTCTCTTAAATCTGTCAGACACTGGGAAGAGATGGGTTTTAGAGTTTCCTGAATCAATGGCCTCTGTGTCTGTAATATATTCCTTTTTGGACATCCTCAGGATGAGCGAGTTTTGTTTGCTGAGGCTAGAACTGACTTCCATTATAGCCCATGAGAACACTTCATGTACAGCCACATCAAAGCAGTTCTTCTGCTCCAGAGGTCTATACAGCATCACATGAGATTTCTGTATCTTCAATGGCGTTTAGTTACATCTCCACCACCTCTGACCTCAAGCAAAAATATAGCAGAGGTGAACTGTCTACAGGCTTTCAAAGCTCATGATTGAAGACCAGAAGATGAAAAACTGCTTGCACTGCCAGCATCATGCCCTTCACAGTCCCACTATGGGTTAGGATTAGGTCTTGGCTCTGAGCTCCTCTCACCTGACATTGCTCAGTCTCCCTGTGAGCCTATTTACAATGCAGTATGTTTTGATCACACTTGTCACTCCTCTAGATGCCATGCAAAATAACTTAAAGCATAAGCTTTAATCAAAACAATCCTTATTGTTGTTGCAAGATGTGTATTGTGATCTCATCATAGCCTAAGCCTTGAAACTCTAACACCAACACCACCTAGCCACAAGTAGTACCTGGTATTGCTTGCCTGTTTACAGCTATCTCCTGAAGTATACTCTTGAGTATCAGAGAAGATTGTTTTGTTGCTATTCCTTGATTCATGTGAAAAACAGGTAACACAGGATATCCCCTGTGCCCTGGCAGCTTGGGGGCATACCTCTTTGGAACAAGAGGTTGGGAAACAGACACAGGGTGCCAGGCTGGGCAGCCAGGGAGCATGGGAGCATGGCAGAGGCAGGCAAACAAGAAGCACCTTGTAATCACTTCTGCAAAAGGTTTTTCGAAATCAGGGAAGCTTCCGATTTTGAAAACACAATTCCAGAGGAAAACAAACCTAAAGAGTTTTCCTTTCCCTGACACAGTAATGAGCATGAAGCAGATTGGTTAAAAAAAAACAACCAACAACCAAACACATAAAACCCCAATCAAACCAAAATCAAAACCACACACACAGAAAAAGTCCCACAACATCCACAAACAAGAGGAAACTGTGTATTGTGGATGCCCACATTAGGACTCTGCATCTATGTCATTTCCTCTTCAAAGTCTGTGCTGGTGAAGAATAAGTGCCATGAGCGAATTAAAGAACTTGCGACCTGGCTTTACACAATTACTTGGTCTTTGTAATAATGAATTTTTCTTCTTCCTCAGTATTACAAATAAAGGCATCAGCAGCTTTTACTACAATCAGCTTCAGTGACCATGGCAAAAGTTCACACTAAGAGTTGAATTCTTACCTCATTATGAGAAAGTACACAGTGAAAAGCACTGGCTACTGCTGTACAGTGACAGTAGTAGATTAAAACCCTTTCCTAAATCCTAGTTTTACACCTTATTTTTCCCTGCATTCCTCAGCAGAAGGGAACAGTCATATAAGCTGCTTTCCAGAGCAGCTTGTTGACTAACAGCTGGTTGAGGGAGAAGTAATGCTGGGTAATGGCTTTATGACTTCACTTCACTGCTTCAGGTTTCATCTTAGTTACAAATCCCTTTCAGAAGGCGGTTTTTACCTCTGCTAGCTCACTTAGCTCGCTAAGCTACTGTGCTTTGTATTTTCCATCCTTTCTCTCCACGGGCAGGGGGGAAGTCATGAAAAGCCAACACATTAAACCATCCAACTACTTCAGAAGCATAATACAAACTCACACTTCCAAAGTTTTGTTCTAGTTGGAATCTTGAGAGACATGCAGCACTGTATTATGCAGCTCATGAACTGAAACAGTGCTTTTGAAGCTACTCTAGGTTATCAGTTAAATATGCATTGATTTTTTTATTTTTATTTTTTAAAGTGATGTATTATTAATTAGGCAACAGAGCAAAGCAGCTTCCCCAGAATTATGCCTGCCTGTGACTGAAAAACGTATGCAGGGTGCTATCCAGAATAAAACCTCTTAATAACTAAAGGGGAGGATTTCACACAGCAAGCTCAATTGCTAGTCTTTAAAGAAAAGTATATTAGGACAAACCTCATCTCTTTCCAGATTATGCTGGGCACAGTGGAGTAATTCAGGCCATTCAGGTGATTGCCTACTTAGTCCCCACAAGTTTTAAGCAGCACAAGGACTGCTTATGGGGTTGCTCAAGCAAATTCTATCCCTGCCTCTTCTCATACCCAAAACACAGACAGACTCATGGCCCAAAATGAAGACACAGGACTGGCAAGTCCCACCCAACATCACCATGTATTTCAGCAGCAGAGTAATGGTACTACTTGAAATATCAAGCCTGTGGTCCAATTTGAGATTCTGAACAAAGAAAACGTACATAAACGTAATTACTTCATTACAAACTTGCTCACACTTACCTTGAGTCCCAGCTCGGATCCTGCTGGCCAATTTCACACATGCACTGCAGAGCTGGAAACCATGAGCTCTCAGCTCATTAGAAGCAGGGAGTAAAGATGTTTTCTTATTCAGGGAGTCAAAGACAGTCCTCAGTGCAAATGAACACAACCTGCATGCCATCCTGCCTTGTGCTTGCTGATGGATGCAGAAGTAATTCAGCCCAGACCTGTAAATGAATGACAGTGAGGACAATTAGCAGAGCAGCCAACAAAGAAATACTTCAACCTTCTTAGAGTGTTTAAATAGAAACACATGTAAAATTGAGTATTCACTTCTTGCACAAGTATAAGTGAGAATGCAAGTTTCAGTTAATGAAGCACAAGCCATAGATTGTTTGATAGTGCACAGAGCAGAAGCCTTTGGCCTGTTTGGCCTTTTGCCTAGAAAAAAAATTGCTTTTTGCCTGTTTGGCAGCAGCCAGCTGGCAGGCCAGATTCGGCTAAGAAGTTGTGACAGCACAACTTAAACGCACCTACGACCCCACCTCAGAGTATCTCTGTACTGCTGTTGGTCATGATGATAAAACAACTAGCAATTAACACCATTTATTTTGAAGGGTGCCTTTTGTATGCAACCTCACACTCATACACAAATCAAGTAAGCCCTGCTTAAGCAGTTACTGTGCACCAGCTGCCTACGTGCACAGGCTTAGACTACTGCAAATGCAAAGAAACACAACTTAGGCTCACCAGCAATGAAAGAGCATCGGCTCGCACAGATTATAGGCACTCTGTCATAGAGCCCAAGCCTGCTGCACTTCAGCTGTGCTAGTCTGAGCATCAACCATTCCGACTGAGAATCTTTTCACTTACTGCCACTCCCAGAAATAACAATCAAAAATCCCCTGAAATGTCTCACATTCTGCAAAATGGCCATTGCCAGCTGAACCATCATACAAGTCATCTGCTTCCCTGTAGCAGCCTGCCCTTAAACCTGTCTGATGCAAACTTGCCAGTTTCCCTTTCATAGTAATGCATTAAAAATGTATCACATTCTTCATATTGACCTCCTGTATAGCACAGGGAAGAATGGGATTCCCATAATTAATCTTGGAATTAGAGCTGAGATTTCACAAAGGTATCTGATCCCCATTTGGACATGGTCAGTCATGCAGACTTCACCAAAACCTCTATCAGCTGCTTCCTTGTTTCATTTCCTGCAGATTTGTCAGGTTTTGGCATTTGGCCACTGAGCCTTGTACTAGTGAGACAGAAAAGCCTTCTATTACCAAAGCATGATCATTTCATTTCACGATCTATGAGTAGAAGAATCAGTCCAAGCCCCTCCAAAGACCGACTCAGTCCACACAAAGTCTCAGGTACCTGAACTTAGGGTGATATCAGTCAAATTATCCCTTAGCCTTCCCTTTATAGAGGTAAGCTCTCAACACCCATCTATTGGTGTTGTATTTCACAGGATTAGGGATCTTTACAATGCACCCACCACATCAGATGCCTCTGATGCAGAGCATTGTGTGCTCCAGCTGAATGTTTCCATTCACAAGCCTGTAACTTGTGTTTCCATCTGAGTGCCCCACACAGAATCCAGACACACAGATGTGCTCCACAAACACACTCAGATATCATGTCTCTTCTTGAAACGTGATGGAAGTAATTCAGTAGTTGCTTTAATGCAACTTTAAAGCAGGACAAGTCCAGGCTAAATAAATCCAGAGGGAAGCATACACAAGCCAACATGGCTCTAATACTGAGCCGGTCATTTTGCCTTTCTCCTCTTCCTTTCTACTTTTCTTTTCTGGAGGGACTCAAGCATTAGGCTGAGTGTTGAACTGTCGGTTCAGATTTTCAGCCTTAAGAGATGAATTTCCCTTCCAACTTGAGTCATGCCCGACCTAACCTTCTGCAATTGTGTATGTGTAGTTAATCATACACAACTACACTGAACCCAATTGTTAAAAGGCTGAATAAATACAACTACACCGTCATTACCTTGTTTAAACGTAGAAAGATTGAGTTCTAACTGGAAATACCGATTCAATAAATAAGCCTGAAATGCAGCAGGTTTTAATCACACCAAGAAATCGGTCTTTTGCATCTCTAAATTATGCAAGGCAAAGCAAGTTCATTTTAATCTATACGTGGCATTATATTTGCCATCTTCATAGTACTCTTTGTCAGTGGGTAATAGCTGTGAAGCAAGTGAAAATGATGTAATGTTGGCTGTTGGTGCCCTCCAGGGGCCAGGCCCGGTATAGCAGTCAGGCAAAACAAGTTTTGAGCATTCGAGCAAATATAATAAATATTGCATATTATTACCCCTCTAGAAAAAGGTGCGAGGGCCATTATTCATGCTACCCTCAGTGGACAGTTTCCCTCTGAAGTCCCACAGACACTGGGATGCTTTATCAAGCAGAAGCAATGCAAGTGACCTATGCATTTCTATTTGACTGCTACTTTCCCTGTCTGGATTCCTGTGAAAGCAAGGTTTATATTTGATCACATTGCACATCTCTCTTTCCTCTTCCACTAGCACGGAAGCCTTTCCCTGGATTCCAGTTAATCTGAAGAAGTAGAGGTGGCGAATATACTACATGCTGATAGCATTCATGACAATTGGAATCAAGAAATGAAAGCAACTAAACTTGATGCCCCGCATGCTGTGAGGCTGAAGCACCAGCTGTCCTTACATTTGCTGCAGACTGAACCATAGGGTGAAAAATCCAAGAAAACTCAGTTTGTAACTTCCATCCATTAATGTCCATTTTTGGCTGCAGGCTTACTCCAGCTTTACATCAAACGACTGATACCCTCCCACAGGCTTTACACTCCCTGGAACAAGACAGGAATCATCCTTTGGCCCTCACAGACTGCAGATTAATTCTTTAGCATAGGGACTATTAATTCACATTTTTCCATGGCATTCTGTAACACAGCTGCTACAAAACTAGACATCAGAGAGGGCGAGTTAAAAAAGATATCAGGACTGTCAGAGTACAAGAACAGTCCACACAAGCCCAGAAGATAAACTGCACATCTTACTCATAACTTACCTCCAACAGAGACCTATCTGATCCAGAATTTCTCTGGAATTAACAGAACTCTTCACTGCCTCCCAGCACACACAGCTCTAACAGCAGACAGGATGGCCAAGAGCAAGAGGAGGTGTACTATCAGGGCACGGTTATGTTAGAATTTCTCCTCCTTAACGTTCTCAGACATTATGAAAGCATGCTGCCAAAACAAGGTTTGCATTACTGTCCAGTCTTACCCACAGAAGCAGCTATAACTTTATAAATACTTCTTCTGCAAAATTAGGATTCAAAGTTTTGGGCGCACTTGAGGTGTTCATACCAAAACCACATCTCCCTTCTCCTTACAGCATATAATATCCAATAAAAGTCTTAGTCGTGGAACGCTCCTCTTTTGTTGCAGTAGGTATGGAACCACTACTTTGTTTCAGGGGTTGAATTTTCAGTACCTGCTATTAGTTTTCAGCCCACTCTGCATAAAGTGTTTAAATGAAGAGATGACTTCTTACAGACATAAGCAGGCAGGACTACACCGAAGTCTTGTGAATGCCTAGCATGACACATTGTGCTCAGCTCTAAGCCCTGTGCATTCTCCTCCAGAAGGCCCAGTGTCAACCTTCAGGCCCAGATAATTGCTGACCTAATACACCACTGTGATATTTGGAGATCATGAGACTTCCAGAGCTAAAGCTCCTGAAGGATGTTCTATGATGGCTGGTGCACACGTCAGCTTCTTACTAGAACTGCTGAAAGAATTACCTCTTGCTCCCCCTTGCCCTGCACAAAGCTCTCTGGCCATGTCAAGAATTGAGACTTTAAAGGCAAGGAGAATCCAAAAAGTCTTTGACATAATTAATATCAGATAATTGTTCAGAGTGTTCTTTCATCTGCCAATTACAAGTGGAAATAGAGTCTGGGGAGCTACTGCAGATCATCTTTATGCAATTACAACTTATGATGAACTACCCAGCTCCAGCAGCACTCCCCAAGCTACAGCAAAACGATTCTAAATGGAAGACCTGTAACAGCAATGACATAATGTCAATTCCAGTATTTAACATGCCCACAAGCTAGAACATACACTCCTGGTTTGCTGCTGTATTTGACCGCGTAGCTCATGGATGAAAAATGACTTCAGAAATCAGAATGGCAGGTAATTAGCAACACATGCTGTCTTCCATTACTTTGTTTTGTTCTCCTTATATCATTTCCCATCCATGCTCTTTCCCAGTGTTTTCAACATTTATTTATAAGAGGCTTCAAGCTTGAAAGGCAGCTTGGCTTCCAACAACACCACTGTGTTGGTTTTGCAACCTGACACGTTTGGGTTCAGACTGAGTGTAGTCCCAAATTGCTGAAAATTTGACAGTGAGCAGTAAGAAATCTGACTGGCTTCACTGAGCTATGTACCAGTGCACCCTTAGCAGAAATACAGCTTCATCTTTCTACCTCCCTGACTACTGTAAGACATCAGCCTCCTATTAACAGAAGAACATCAGTTAATACATAAGCCGATACACCAATGCATCAGGGTTCTGGCCATGGGGGACCTCAGGCCTAGAGCTGCACACGCTGTTTTCTGTGAAGGCAACAAGAAGGAAAAGCCACTCTCTGATGACCCTGCCTCATCTGAGCCATTTTAATTACACTCAGTCAAGATTGATTAATATGGGGATTCTAGAAGAACCATCTCTGTTATATTCCATGCCTTCCACTCACTGAAGCATGGAAGAAAACTGAGCTCGTTTATTTTGACCCCCTGCAGACCAGAGCGAAAGGCAGCTCTGCAGGTTTTCCAGCACTGGACACTGCTGGGGAATGCAGAAATGCACCCCTCACCAGCACCTGCAGGTGGCACGGTCTTCTTGCAGATCTCTAATCTGTGCTCCATAATCACAGTCCAGGGATAAATAAACCCAACTTCCCAGATGGAAAGAGGTTTCAAAGCTTCTGTACTCATTTATGATTTGTTTTGTTCAAACCCATCAATTTAAACAATTGCTTTATTTTCCAGAAGCTGTGCTGGATTAGATTCAGTAAACATTGACAAGAGAAGACGAATGCTGGAGAACACAAAATGAGTTAGAGACTGAGAACAAAATACACAACCCAGCACCAGGCTCAGAACTGCAGAGCATGGAGGCTCATGAGAAATACAGCTCATATTGATCACAGAAGTAGCAAACATCTTCAAATAACAATGCAGGGACCAGTTTTAGAACTGAACTTCAACAGTATTTGTAGCTTGACAGCACTTCACTGAAAAGTTTCTGCAAAGTGACTCAAGCAAATTAAGAGAGAACATGCTCCAGTGCACTTCTCCTTGAGCCAGAGGCTGCTCCATAGGTTTCCCCACAAATAAGTTACACAGCTTCTGAGGGGATTTCTCCCACATGAATTCTTACTTGAAATTCTTACATAAATTCTCATGGCAAACAGGATCTCCAAAGTGATCCGACCAGGGAAAAAAGGAAAACAACACTAACAAACAAGAGCAGCTTTTTTCAGGCTGTACTGCTGCAGGAACACATAACTCAGTACCACTAACAGGGATGGACAACAGGACACTGCAGAAGCAGGGCCATCGACCACAGTCCCAGCACCAACATAGTGCTGTGCCTTGGACTCCTCAGTGCTCACAGCATGCCCTTTCCCAGCCCAATAGCCAGTATCAGATAGAGGATCTCACAGTCTTTATACTAAAGCTACCAGGTCATTGATTCCACTAGGAAGATATGCATCAGTATGTCTACACCTGGTTCAGTTACTAAATTGCCTCAAATGAGAAAGAAATTTTGAAGCCTAACACTAAAATCACTGGCTTTGCAGCAGGCCTGCACTACCTTGGCCACAGAACGGAGCGACTACAACATGTCAGTAATCATAACTGCTTTTGAAAATAAAGTACAGCTCATCAGGGTGGTCATGTTTCCCCTAAATATATTAAAGCATCATTACCTCAAGAACTCATTACACCAACACAGCACTTCTTAAACGGCCAGCATTAGGAAACGCTGAACGGCTTCCGAGATGCTGATAGTCATCCTGTCATTTCTGTCACAGCCCAGTTCTTTCATTCAACAGCTAAAAACATTAAGGTTCTATTTTCTTTGTCCAAAGCTTCTTGCTGCCCTTTTCTGGCACAGAGTCTTGCTGAGCTTGGGAAGGAAATCAGACTACTCATATATATCAGCATACTTCCTCCCTGGGCCTAAATTTAAAGCAGACAACATGCTTCATAAATATTAATTTACATGAGATATTTTAAGTGCAGCATAGCAGTTGCCCAGAGTTTTCCTTCTCATGCTTCCAGCTTCATTAATCAACTCAGCCCCGACAAAATACATTACAGGAAGATGTCTGTAGTCACTGTGGTCTAAGGCATAATCATACCTCAGAAATGAATATTTACAAGCCCATGTCTGCTCTTTAACAAGAACACAAGAAACCAAACTGTGTGGCAGTTGTACAATGCTGCTGTTAACTCCTCTCACACAGGGAGGATAGGATTCTTGCACTAAAAAGGGACCAAAGCTGGAGAAGAGCAGCAAACAAACTGGGAAGAGTCAGCACCTTGAAATGCAAGGAAAACAGCAGACCTAGGAAAGAGCACGTTTCAGGTGGGAGAGACCTGGAGGAAAAGCCATGGCTTGCACAGGAGATACCAGGGAGCCAGCCTAGCTCAAGTGCTTGTGAGCTTCCTGACAAAGGTCAGCAACAAAGGAACAGCAAACCTCCTCTCCACATTCACCAAGCTTTCTGTAAGTTCTGACTACATTACATATCATGGTTTTGAGAGACTGCAAGGAACAGAACCCTGCTGTGGCAGCACTGTTCGTTCCTCCCTACTCCTCTAGTTGAGAAGATGGTTCCCACACTGAAGAGCTGCATGACAAAAGTTTGCTGTCACAGAGCCACAGGGAGGAAATAACAGAATAACAGCAATAACAGCAATGATGCCAAGATGCTCTTAGGATCAGCAGTATTTGAGCCAGAATAACACAGTTATCACTGCTCTGTTCTCACAGAGCAGAGCACCCGTAACAGCATGTCACAGCAAGCTGTAAACACAGGTCAGAAACCCTCTCCCAGCCTTCATGCTCCTCCAGAGCCCTGACACTCGCAACAGGTACCCACACCCAGCTGCTCTCACCTGAGTGCCATCAACACCAGCACTGCCTGGCTTCATCCCTCGTCCCCTGCTCCTTCTGCCTGTGGCACACCTGAGCTCCAACCATCTTTTCTATCCCTGTCTCACTGATTGGGCTGAAAGTAGGCAGGGCTGAATTCTCATTAGCTGTACACACAGCACAGCTAACAGGCAAAAGTACCATGGCATTTCAATTTGAAAAGGCTTCCTGGTACTTTATCATCTTCTTGTCTACACCTCCCATGTTTACATTGGTGTTGGTCACCCGAATAACAGCAGTGTCTTTCTGTTTATAGCACCCCCTGTTTCAGGTACAGCAGTATCAGGGTCCCAGCTCCACACTTAAGTCTTTAAGTGGCAGAATAGCTTGTGTGGTCATGCTAAAGAATGCAGAAATTGCTAAATGCAGCCAAATGCTTCTTCAGGTCTGGACAGAAGTATCTTTCCGATTTCAATACATTTGCATGCTCTAATCTTTGCATGCCACAGCTCTTGCTTCTCAGCCAAGAGTGGAGAAGCAGAAGGAGGTTTTGCACTGCTTATTACTCTTTGCAACAATTAAATCCAAGAAATACCAGCAAACCAAAGAACAGATTTTTCCCTCCACTGATGGACAGTCCAGATTTCCAGGTGTGGTTCTTTAGATTTCTCCCAACAAGACATACACAGTGTTACTAAGAGTTCTGCATGTCATTCAGAGAAAGCCACCTGAGTGTGTTGGATAAAGAGGTGCATTTTAGATAGTAACGTTTTTTCCAAGCCTTATCAACTCAGGACTGACAAGCGATAATGACAACCTGTATTCTCTTGCGCTTCAGGGAAGAAAAACAAAGTCTGTGGTCCACACTTCTATCATTCTTCCTCACTCTTCTACAGAAGACCCTCCAGTTACATACTTGCACTTCCATAAACCCTTTGGTCTTAAATCCAAGCACTGCCTCCAAGTGCATCATTTTTCACTGAATTCTGCTCCCTCCAAACAGGCTAAAGTTCAAGGTCACACCTAAGATCATCTGTCCAGATGACACCAGTAATTGTAACAGACAATATACCCAAATACTGCTCCTTGCAAACACAATTCCAAACCCATGAACCGAGACCTGACCTGTTTCCTTAACCAACTGCAATAACATTGATCAAGACTTGTCCCCAAGAAGTAAGAGCCTCGGGGTCCTGCTCCAGACCCACCATCCAGAGGTATTACTGCTCCCCCCCTTGGCAAGGTCTTCTGCAGCCGCGTGGAAAATGCACGGCAAGAGGACGGAGGGAGAGAAGGGGACACAGCAAGAGATAGGAGAAGCCTGCAGATTTGGTATCAACCAATTGTGTTGCATGGGGCCAGAAGGGTTGGAGGGAGAGGGGCTGTTTGGGAGATAAGACATCCCAGGATGAGATGGGCTGGGACAGGATGAGAAAACCCTCTGGTCCAAACCAAACTATTCAGTATTTCACTACTGCATGATCTACAGCCACACTATTTGATTCTCCAGAAAAATCACAGCAAGTTATAGCTCCTCTCCAGTTCTCCAGGGTCCACATCTGTGGCGAGAAATCATTAAAGTGTGAACACAAGCCCTTCTTGTCCACACTGCCTCCAAACGAGCCAGCTGTGAGCACCCCCGAGCACTGCAGTGGGCCAGAGAAGCCATACTTAATAGTGCTAAGTCTAAAACCATTTTAAATAAATCCCCCATTCTTCTGGACCAGTCCTTACCATTTACATCACCATCCACCTGGGTAGCATGAAATACTACTCTAAGGCTGATAATTATGTTTTTACAGAGATTAGATGTTAAATGCTTTCTGATTGTGTTTAGGGCTCTAACACTCCAGATCAGTTCAGCATAAAAAGAAAATTATTCCCATTTTCCCCAGAGAAAAATAGTAGTTTCCACTGAATAGAAAAGGTATCCCCCCCCCCCAAACAAACAAACAAAAAAAAACCCTGCACTGGCTTAAGACCAAGAACAGCCAGATTTCAGGCTGCATCAAGAAGAGATTCTCAACTCTAATCTCAGAAATTTCACCTTTAAATACCTCTCAAAGAAAGGAGAGAGCCCCTGTTAGTATTACTAATAGAGCTAGAAGGCCTTCAGATATCAAATCCTGGAATTACTCAGTTACCCTGTGCTGAAAGAGCAATTTCAGAGTACTTGTGGAGGTGGGTACTTAAACATTAATTAGTAAGCTTACCTCTCCCAGATCTGTAATATATTCTGCACAACTGAAGTCAAAGCTAGGCTTACAATAGAATTAACACTTGAAAATATTTGAGGCCTTTTTCCTCTTAAAACAAAGCCACGGTCACTCTCACACTAGCACCTACAAACCCCAAAGCAGCCTGCACACACAGCACCCACCACACCCAAAAGCCTTGTACTCACCTAGCCACACGGACAAGAACATGGGCAGCATCCAGGAAGAAAATAACCCTGCCATACTGAAGGCAGAAATAAGCGCTACACTTTCACAGCACCCTCCAACAGGACAAAGAAATCCCCAAACAGCTCACACTGCAGCCATACAGCTCCAGAAAGCCCCAGTGGTGGCTGGGCCAGCTCCTAATCATCCCCTGCAGCTGTGGGAGCCTCAGCACCTGCCAGTGATTATCTCATTGTGCCCACCAGCTGAGCACATCCCCATGCTAAACAGACCTGGGGATCCACTACCCAGCACCTATCCCTTTGGGGATAGCTCACAGAAACTCAGTGTACCCAAGGAACTTGGCATGCAGCTACAGGGGTCACAGCACTGGGGTTTCAGCTCTCTATAAGGCATTGTGACCCTTGTATTCTGTGACAGTTATTAACGTTTCTAGTTTTTTCCCAGCTCAGAATCAGTTGCTGAAATACTGTATTCTGAACATGATAAAGTGGTTAAGATTTGAAGCACTCTTTTTGATTTGTATCAGGAAGAATATGTAGGATTTGAACACAGCAACAAAAAGGTTTCAGAAGTCTATCACTTGCAAAGTGTAAGTGTTCAGGTAGATGGGTAAAAACACTAAAACTTGCCAAGTGCCACTGATGTAATTTAAACAGTGCAACAAATGCTCAGCTGTGACTCAAATTCAGCAGCACAGCTCAACGCACACCACTGCTTCTGAAGCAAAAACCTCCAAATACCTGTTCTGTCCCTTACTGCATAAGTTCCCATTCATATTGCTCCCACACAGTATCACCATTTTCAGTTGCTGCAGAACTGATTTGCAAGGCAGGCTGTGATGCTCATAAGTTACTTCTAAGAATTAGCCTGGAATCTTGGCATTTGCAGGATCTGTCCTCTGCAGGACAGAAGGCAACTCATGAACATTATTTATTCCCTTTTAAACAATTTTCTTTAAATCCTTCCAGGTTTCCTTCATTAAATGGAAGACTACAATGCATGCGAACAAAAATAAGAATCTACTAGAACCAAACTTTTTTAGTGCTGCTAGTTTAGAACAAAGACGTATAAAGTGTGGGTTGTAATTCACATCAGATGGAAATTCTGCTGACTTATAAATAAAACTAAACTGGCACTGAGTCCTTCCCTTACATTTCCTATTTGCTTTTCAGCCACCTAGTGACAACAGTTCATTTGTGAGAAACACAAGTACTGTATACAGTATTATCAAAATGATGTAATTTGCCGACAGTATCAGCATGAGCAGGGTCGATTCTTATCTGATGGGTAGTACGGGATGAAGTCTTTAAGAAAATATGCTTTTTAAGGACTAAACAAGCAGCAGGAACTGTTTCTGTTTGTCTGGGAATATCCTCCTTTGGAAATACTGTGACCAGTGCAACCTGGTTTTACATCAGTGCCTACTTCCTGACCTAAATCTAAGTGAAAGTCCCAAGTGGTACCCAAAATGTTCTTCCCTTCCTCAAGTTATAAAAACAAAATGAACAGAGACATTGGAAACAGCCCACTGAAACCAACCAACCACATTGCTAATGGACCACATTCTAGCTTTCAGCAAGGCAATGTTATTACATCCCTTAATCCACCTGCAAATCAATGATGATCTTGACTCGCTTTCAGCAACAAGATCTGTGTGCACGGACTGTGCTACCTGACGAGCCAGCCACCCGTACATGATTGATCAGCATCCTACCCCAGCTGTGTCAGAGCCACAATAATACGACAAATTCTCTTCGTCATGCTTCAGCTTTTGCTGGTTGTTAACACAAAACAGGTGTAAAGCAGAGGAATGAAAAATACCAGCCGTCATGGGAGATATTGGAGAAGAGGACTGTGAACAAAGGGCTAACAGAGAGCATCCCCAGAGACCAGCCTTCAGCAGAAAAGACCACTTGAAATGCCCTTCCCTCTCTCCAGCAGACAGTCAATCACAGGACAATTCCCTCCAATTGTTTTACATTAAACTGTTGGTTATACGTAGGGCTGTGTTTCACCAGTCAAAAATGAGGTACAATAAAACTCCCCACAATAAACTCTGGTACCCACCTGGTACTCAAGTACGATATATATTTTCAAAACCACTATGTTTCTGCCTTAATTTGTAGGGTCCTGATTAGCTTTTGAAAGCTTGATCTGCAGGGAGACCAACCAAAATCAGAGCTTTGGTTTAGGGTATGTACCACCATATACCACCTACGCAGACCAGTAAGAGGAAGTATGTGTCTCCACTCGAGCTGGCAATCAAAACTCAAGACTTTTAGCTGCCTGACTCACTACTGCAACCAGAAAACGTTGCCCAGGTACCTTTTGCTGACAGTCAGCTCTGGAATCTCTGAATTAGCAGAAATTGAGAATTACAGCCACCTCTCCCATAGATCTTCAGTGTAGTCCTGAATTAAAGTCCACAGAGGCTGACAGGAGCCATTCCTTCACCAAGTTTGGGAACAAATACTCCATGAGTTCTCTGAAGCCTACTGAAGTCTATCAAACACTTGATCCTGCCTTTAGTTTTCCTTCTTCATGCTTGATCCATGATCTATGCTCTATTCTCAACATGACTGCTTATCTGCAACCTCATCTTTTCCATTTTTGCTGTGAGGCCTTTGTATAGGATATTTCCAAATACAGTCCACATGTCTTTAAATATATGGAACTTGAATTTCATTTGATGGAACCCAGGCAATTTATTTTCCCTTAGATCTATCCATCCGATTTGATGTTTTTTAAATACCAGCCATGTACTTACTGTACTTTCATTTTCAGATGTGGCCTCGCTTCAAGTTTTGACATTTTGCTGAAAAGTTTCAACAGCAATTAGTCAAAACACGATGATGTTTTGGTCTGCTGTTTAATCCATACCAGAGCGCAGGCCAAAGCGGTTTCCTTCCAGTGAACACAGACTTTCTAATTACACTCACTAATCACAGGATGAGTAAGAGCTTTTTCAGTGGAGGAGTGCCTGAGTTCATGCTCCAGCCTAATGAACATGATTTGATGCTCCTTCACGCTAAGTGACTGTTGCCATATAGCAGCTGGGTGTGAGGCAGGGCTCCTGTGAGAAGCCTTGGCTCTGTTTTTCAGTCCTCAGTGACTCTCACCCCATTGCATTTAGACTCCTCTGTTTCCCCTAAAATCCACTTTGATGATCTCCCAACACTTTATGATTTAACCTTTTGCTGCTTTTAAAAAATACGCTGACTGTAACCAACTGAATTAACTTTCCCAGAGTCAGGCAGCACTGTTTCCAGCGGTTATGGCACAAGACTGGGAGACCAGAAACTGAGACCAGTGCTGTAGGGCTGCATCCCAAATCTCCTCTCATCATAGCTGAAGAAAAAGTGGGATATTTAACCCTACCTTTTACTGGTTTTGAGTTAACTCTGGGTCCTGAGCTGTTCGGCCCTCCCAGTGCAGAGAGATGAGCGCACCTCTCCACATTTGTTCCTCATGTCCCTCCAAAACGGAATATTAACCTTGTCCCTAGGGGACAGTTGCGGACTAAGAAACTCCGGATCTTTGTCACTAAGCACGTTTACATCCAAAGTATGTCATGTGTTCAAAGTTTCCAACAGCAAAATGGATCTGTGTTGTTGCTCCAGAAACAACTGTGTTAATGCAAACATGGTAAGTGGGTTTACACCTGCACCTCCAGAGGTGTGCTGGAACATCTGCTGTGTAAAACATCAACTAGGACCCATAGCAGTGTAACTACAAACAATTTTGACTACATATTTGTAGAAAACCAAATTTGAGTATAGGAAAGAATCCCCATAGTTTTCATAAAGAAAAAGAAACATCATGAAGCCTACTTGATTATTTATAATATTATTAGCATTTTCACAAATATTATCACCATGGCAGCAAGTAATTACTTGGCATTCCTTAGCGCAACATAAAATTGTTTCAAATGTTATCACTAAAAGTAAAACAATAAAACTTCATTGCTTTAACATCTGGAACAAACCTTTCCAGAGCATGACATTCTTGTCAATCTGGTAAGATAATAAACCATTAAATACTAAATATTAGAGAGCAGGGAAGTGTGTCTCACACATATACACTGTGACAGCACTCATGAAGAAGACAGTTTCACAGTGACTGCACTGCTGATTGCAGTAGAAGTACATGGCACAAGCAGCACCCTAAAACAAGATGCAGTGACTATCAGAACACCATTTAGTCTCCTAAGTCACCTAGAAGCTTATTAAAATATTACTTTACTTCCAAACTTGTCTGAATCATAAGAAAAACCTGAGCTAAAGCCAAACTGTACATCCTGAACCTCTTTTACAGCTTCCTGTCAAAAAATGTTTCTACCAACAAGTAGGAAATGAGAGAGAAATAACATCTCATACACAGCATAAAATGCACCACAAAGAAGCACACAAACGCATGGCCATTACCAAGCAGGTATCTCAGACTTGCTCTCTAATTCAACACCATCATCATCAAAGGCCTTTAAATCTACAAATCCCTGCAGCTGCAAGCTGACTCCTAAGCACAGGAAATACTGTTTCTGTAACACTGCTCTTCCTCTCCCATTTTGCCAATAGCGCAGCTGCACTGGACACACACAGGTACTCCAGCCCCACTGCAGCCATCCACTGGAGCAAGCCAGGTTTCCAGGAACAGACACCGGCCCAGCCGAGCCCCTGCAGGGCTCATTCATTGAGCACCTCAAGCTGTGGAAGCCCAGCAGGAGACTGCAGCCCACAGTGCCAGCATTGTATCGCCCAGGGATGGTGGAGATTGCAAAGACCCTGGCGAGACAGTTTTCCAGGTGCTCTGTGCTATCAGCCAGCAGCGGGAATGATGCCCAGGCCAAATGTGTCATGCAAGGCAATGTGAACCAGCACACAACAGCAAGACAAGGTGATGTAAGACAGTGAGCTTGCTTGTTTAGCTAACAGTGATACAAATCAAGAGCAATTCCATAAAATTACAAAACTTCCCTCTACATTTACACACAAAGGGCAGCTACCTACCTTTAAAAATAAGCAGGCCTGATATGGCTTGCACACCTGAGGTTGCAGCAAGTCTACCCATGCCAACACTGTCTAGAAAGCATTTCTAAGAGACAGAAGTCTGTAAATGATGGATAGTGAGGTGGGCTAAAGCCCGTGTCTTTCAGAGAGATTAAAAGTAGGAAAAGGATGAATCTGGACTTCTTCTGGCTCAGTAACATAATCATCCATCTGAAAATGAGGATGCATATATATATATATACATTTATGTGTGTGTGTGTGTATACACACACAAACACACTTTTTAACCAGTTATGAAGAGTAAGGGATAGCTCAGCTCTCAATGCAGCCAAGAATTATCCTAAGGTGACTACAACAGGATGTCTGGGCCACATATTGCAGCAGCAAAGCTCCTTGAGGGCATGGCAGAGACTAGAAGGTTCTGCTAGAGAAACATTCACCCATGAAATGCAGTTCCTGATGCCCATTATAGCAGAGAGGACATCTACTGCTGGCTCTGATTAGCTGGCAAGGAAGAGCTGAATTAAAAGCAAAGCATTGCAGGATAAATACTTGTTATCAGAAAAGCACTAGATGATTGCATCCCAGTTCCAGGATTTTATTCACCAATCTCACCATCTGGCTGCTCAAACCATTCCAGCATCTCTGAGTATCATTATCATAACACTGGGTAACCACTAAAAAACTGAAGGACGCAATGCAGAAGGTAGGTGCTGCCTGCATACAAGGAGATAAGCTTTAAAGCACCAATTTTAAGTGGATGCGATGCATAAATTACAAGTCATAAGCATGTCTTTTAGAACACAGACCAAGTGACTTCCTTCATGTACTTAATGTTGCCATATAGTCAGTAGCTGCTTAATAGTTAAAGGCTTCAGATTACTTCATAAATCCCAATTTTTATGCTTTTACAGTGTGCCTCACAAAACTGAGTTACCCCAAACCAGGATAATAAGGGAAATCACCCTGAAAATGTAAGAAAAAAAGGAAAAAGAAAATTCATTATTTGAAATCCTGTTCCTTACTCACCTAAAATATATTCATTGACTTTTCACACTTGCCATAAAATTACATCTCCTGCAATTTATACACAGCTTTTAATAGAAAACCCCCATTGGTTGTATTCATGCTACTAGATAACAGTTGCTGCAGAATTTGGCCACCTCTAATAAAATGAAAGGTCTAGGCATGGTCTCACTGATGTCCACACAAGATTAATTCCAGACTTTAAGACAAGCATGGCAGGATGTTTCACAGATGCAACTGTCAAGTATAGTGGCACTTTACCACATATGTCAATGTATGAAACATATGAAGGTTTAAAGAACTCATTCAGAAAATTCCAGGGAGAGGTTATCAAAATTCAAATGCTATTGGTTTTTATTTTTCCTTTTGGGGGAGCAGAGAAGAGGGAAGATGTCTGAAGGGTTCTGGCTTTTCCTTCTCAAATACAAAAACTTTTTGTAAAACATAAATAATGAGCAAAAAACTTTCTTTAATGGAAAAGATCTTTTTCTTCAAAAGGCATGCCAACAGAGAAGGTTTATTCAAGCTGAATAGGTACATTTCAGATTCCACTGCAACAGTTTTGGATTTTGATGTATGCTGACTACCTCAGTTATTTGCTAATGTAAGCATAGCAAATTACCTGCTATCATCTAGCTGGAGCTATTAGACTGCAGCTAATAATTTACTCCTCAACTCATCTTTATTCTGAACATGCAAATTATTAATTGATTACGGGTTTTCTGTAGTCATCTGTGCAAATGACTGCTCTTGCCATTCATTACTGCCTCCTTTTCCACCTGCCTGTCAATCAGCCCTTCATGGGGATGCCAAAATAACATTTCAGTTCTGTGCTGCTTGTGGAGTGATGGAGTTCAAATGAAAGCACAAGCAGAGGGGCCCACACAATATCTCTGTAGCCTCTCAGGTGTGTGATGCTGCCACTTGGGATGCATAATACTCACTGGGGTTTTGGCATTCTGGAAGACACTGTGAAAGTATGTAACACAACACACTGCTGCTGCGCAGGATGAACAGACTATAAGCAGGAAGTCAGAAAGCCCAACACATCTTCAGCACTTTGCAGATCTGCTCTCATATTTCCAGGTACAGAAGGTAAAAAGGACGACTGGATCAACACAGGATTATTAGACACAATGCTTTTCATGCACACAAGGCACAGTGCCATATCCTTTCCAAGACCCAACTCTTGCTGATTCAAGGGTAGTTGGCAGCCTCACACACACAAAACAGGGCCACGCTTTACAAAGTACAGCTGTAGTATCAGCTTGTTCAGTGACTCTGGAGTGCCATCTTCACAAGATCCCATGCACCGAGTGTTTTCATGTCTATACACAGAAGGCAATGGGTGCCATTTGTTTGCCTGGACTGTCAGCTCTCCGCAGTATTTCCTTTTGTAACTCCTACCCTGTGTAGTAAATAAGGCAAAGATCTTTGTAAAAAAGAACCAGCAGATTTATTTTAAAAGGCCACTTAAAATAAATCCATTTATGTACCATGAACTCTTACATAAGTAGAGAAACAAATAAATAAGAAGAAAATGGAAATATTGACAAAATACATTGCCACCCTGAAGACTTGTAAAGAAATTGAGCAGTAGCAGGTGCCTCCTCTGGCAACATAGATAATAACATACGAGTCCAGATGAGCTTCAAAAGTCAGATCTACAGCAGCTTTTCCCTTTTTTCCACCAGGCACTGAGAACTGGTTGCTAACAGCTTCCTGCTATCTGCTAAAACAACAGTTGCTTAGGTCATGGTAAAAAGCCAGGATATCTGGCTGTACTTATTCTATTGCAAGCTATGTTTTTAATCTTGTAAGAAATCATGTGATGGCTTTATCTCTAGCTTTAAAAAGACTTACCTCCAGGTCCCTCCACTTGGAGCAAGTGTGTTAGAGGAGGTAAGGCAGGAAAAGCCTGGCTAATTTCAGAGCTCTGCCGACAAGGTGGCACAACACATCCCAGGCACAGGGCAAGCCTCGAGCTCTCTCAGGCTCAGCAGTAAAGGTCATTTGTAGAAGTACTTACTGCAACGTGATGAAGAGATGGGAAATGCACAGCATTTGCATTCTGTTCTAAAATCACAAATCAACCTCCCCAAAAGAAATCCGAAAATCTGTATGTTTTAAGATAATGAAGGGGGGGGGGGGGCTGTTTCTGTTTTTATGACACATTTCCATTACATATTCAACATATTCCCTTCCACCCTAAAGATAAGCAAAATAAGATCTTCCCTTGCTGAGTGTCACATAACATCTTCATCCCAGAAACAGAGACGTCAGGAAAACACAGCAAGGTTCAAATACTACAAACGCATTTGAACGACTAATTCTCCTTAGTTTCAATGTGTGTGAAAGGCCTAAATATTTTTGAGACCTTAGGCTAAATACAAGACTTGCTAAAACTATGTACCCATTTGCAAAAATATCTGTAAGTTAATCCTCAGCTACCACTGGGACTTGCTTCAGCTTTCAAACCTCAGTTTATGGTAGCAACATTCACCATTTTTTCCCAAGTGCTCTTCACTTCTGTCAAGCAGAAAAGAGGTTGTTCGTGATGCTGGCTGCTTCCTGTTCTTTTCTTCCTGCAGCTCTGATTTTTTTCCAACCCACATCCCTGATTTTAGTAAGGAAAGGGGATGGGGAGAAAGAGATGCTCACATCTGTGCAGAGTCACATCTGTAGCCAGCCCTCCTGTATTCAATCCTCTGATTTGGCTGTAGGGAAGAAGCAGGTCTTGATTGCACAGTGCTTTGAAGTTTAATGGTGATTGGAACATATGCTGAAAGACAGTGTCACCACCACAGTTATATCAAAAAGTTGATTATCTATTGAAAAGAAGTTTGTTTATACGTTTACTTCCACTTCTATTAATATATGGGGAAAGGAGAGGGAAATTAGCATATGAAAATGCCAGATGTAACTAATAGCTATCAAAGTAAGACAGGGCTGGGCTCAGATCAAAGGGGTTTGCTAATTTGGAATAAGCCTGATATTGTCTTTTCTGTCTTGGAGTTACTTTAGGCCCTCACAGTAAAAAGATTTATTGGGAACCAGAAAAACACATCTGAGTTTCTCATTTTACAGACTTTACGTTCGTATTACACAGTCGCAGGACAGCACCAAAAGACAAAGATAAATTCTCTCTGGTAACTTTCAGTCGATGTTCAAAGACGTGAAGTATTTGGCACAGAAGATTTGTGCACCAAGGTGATACTCTTAACAAATTATGATGAGACATCTGAAAGTCATCATTTCTGTGCACATGCATGCATTTTAAAAGAAAATCTACAAGAGGATCAAAACCAAGATTAAACCACATCTGTTTGGGTTTAAACTACATTGTCTGCAGAGTTCAAAGTTGTTTCCTTTCGTCTAAAAAACCTTACCCAGCTGCTTTTTATCTTAAATTCCTACCACTATCAAAGAAGTATTTTCATTGGCCAACCAATGTTATTTCTAGAAGTTGAGCTAGTTAGGAATGGAGCTAAGTAAGAAAATATGCTTTCTTCATCAAAGATCTACCCTCTGTGACTTGACTTGGCACACTGAAAAGACAAATGGACAGGTTTCATCAGGTTCTAATGGGGGCAGTGTATCTACTGTATGTCATCATGCCATAAATTAGGTTCTCAATCTTTTTACACAAGTAATTGACTACAACTGACACCGGTAAGGAAAACATGAGACAGAATGAATTGGAAGAGGCACAAATTATATAATAAATAAATACATACAGCACAAATCCAAGACATGGGAAAGAGAAATGTTTTGAAAACTGTCATCAATCAGTAAACATTCTGCATAAATGCAGGTGTGCAGTACTGTTGTAACAGCAGGACTTGTTCGGCTACCACTGACAAATGTACACACACATGTACATGTGTATGTGTATGCATGCATGCACACACACAATAACACTAGACCAGGAAATCCTGATGTTCAGTGTTAAACAAAGAGAAGAGTAGGTGGTACAAGATGACTGCCTCAGTCGTAGTCACAGTGTTTTGCGTTAAAATATAGGAGAAAAATGAAGTTAAACTCAAAGCATATAATGTGACATCTACATACTGAGCAATGAATTTCACTTTTCTGTGTGCCCTCTTCCTGTTTGAATCACTTCAAGTAGCGTGTGAAAGTCTGTTTCACACAGCAGAGCCCCACTTTCACTCCAGTGGGAACTGGATGAAGCCTTTCATGAACTAGGCTACATCCTAACTCCTACAGGCAAACTCCCCTACACCCTAAGGCCAATCTGGATTCACAGACCAAGCAACATAATGCTTATCTTGGCCAAGCTGTTGCCCGAGCTGCCCTCTCTCCCCTTCCCAACACACAGCGTGGGAAGGAAAAGAACTGGCATTGATCACCCTTTCAACCCTGAGCCAAGAGCAGGAGAAGCTGCAAAAGCCTGGCTTTTTCAGGTTTGCAGGAGGGTGTGCAGAAGACTTGGGGGTCCCACTCTGCATTTTGGTGCCAACCCTTTCCCCCTGCAAAGTTTCCTTTACTTTGCAGATCTGACCCTATTCTTTCTGAAGTCAGGAATGCAACTCACTTTTATTATGCAGCAAAAAGGAAAACTGAGCAGTTGGGCACCCTACAGCTGGTCTACTAATGTCACAATCTTTTCAGTATGTTCATTATGCAGTTGTCACAGATTCATACATTTGATAGCTCTCAATCTGCAAATCATTCGTATCATGACCTAACAGCTGGCATTTCTTGCCATAACACTGTAACTATGTACTCTTAATGTATAGAACATATGGGGCTAACTTTGCTTACCAACTGCGTACATACTGTGCTCTGCAGTCAAATGTAATTTTACACATCTCCAATTTACATTTAACATTGTGTGGGAGAAAACAATAAATCATTTGGCCTGGAAAGAGGAACAATACCAGCTAATACATGTAACTAATCAGAAGCACATAATTTTTGTTGTATTTGTTTTCACTGGAATCTTGAACTTGAAAATATTTTGGGTGGTCTTTGTCCTAAATTTGTTCCCCTTCTCTTTCCAAAACTGAGTGTTCCAGAGTCAGCTCGCTTTGTCTTATCTGTTGCACACAAATAGAAGAAAAAAAGTGATTCAATCTGCTGACACATATTTAGAGAGCACTCAGAAAGCTGGCTCTTCGTGTACAGCTCTGGAAACTGTAACTGGATTCTCCAAAGGGGGAATTGTTCAAGAGTGGTAATAAATCAAGATGAAGAACAATAAGAAAATATGCTGTCTATTTATTCAAACACCTTCTGGCATACAGCAAGAAAAATAGCCCCAGTGCCCCATCACTACTTAATGCAATTCTCTTTTTCCAGGTCACGGTAATATATGTTCCAACCACCATCTGATAATTAAATACAAAGCTGGCCAGAAATAGAATTCATACATCTCCAAGGGAATGTCTTCAATAATGCCCAAGTGCCTTAGAAACTCAGGTCAAATTTTTAAAGACCCAAAGCAACAGTTAGGCCCAATCTCAGTGCATAAGTCTCATGCTTTTAAATACCTTTTTGCATCTGGCTTGGGCCAGCAAGTGTGTTCAGTTGTAGCTACACAAACTTCTTTTTAGGAGAGCCATGCTCCTCCACAGCAGATCATCTGATGAGCCACAGTAACTAAGCCCAGGAATGGCAACACAGCAAAACCCACTCATTTCAAAAACATGCTGCCATTGCCTGTCACTGATGCTCAGAGCCCTCCACGGGAGGTGAGCTGAGGACAGAGAGTGAGCAGCAAATATCCTGGCTCTACCCGCTGCACGTAACAACTCCCTTCAGGGCTATTTCAGGGTATTTCTTTCCCCTTCCCAGACCAATACACCCTTCATCATTTCAAAGATGGATAGATGTGATTGGGGGTTTTGAGGTTTTGGGATGAATAACAGCAGTAAAGGCCATCCAAGCGATTTGAATTTCAAATCCATGGAGAAGCTGGAGGGCAGCCCTTGGCAGATGGCTGGTCATAACTGCTGGTGCAGCAAATATTAGGGTGTATTCACTTTCTAACTGCATCTTACTCTGTAGCAGACATGTCTTGTTTAGCAAAACAGATTACAGCAATCTGCACCTTCACTGCAGGTCTTGAAAATCCTGTGTGAAAAGAACAAATGTTTTGCTTCAGCTAAAAATGTAAGTGTTGCACAAGTATGGAATAAGTATTTATAAGGATTGTGTATATCTGACTCACATAAACATACTCAAAGACATATAACTTCCTAAGAGCTTTTCATAGCACTGATGCCATGAGAGACACACACACACCAGCAAGGCTCTCTCACTGACCACTTCTCTTGTATTGAGACTGATTCTCAATAGCCAAAAGCAATTGACCTCTCCAGTTGCAGACAGACAGTCTTTCTGAGACCACTGCCTAGTGGGTAGAGACCAGAGTACTCCCTTGCGCTTGGGCAATTCAGCTTAGGATAAACATTTCGCCCTCCCAGCCCCAGAGTCTTCCTCACGCTCCCACAGAGTCATTCAGTGCCTATTTTCAAGCATCAGGATACCAGAAAATATGAAAATGTAAACCCCAACAAGATTATAGTGTTGACATCACATTGGCTTTGCTAATATTGCTTCATATTACGTAAACTTTGAAGGCTATAGTTATGGGAAGGCATTGCAGCCTTCCTTTCCAGACTGGTGAAAAATGTAGCTGAGCCCTTTCTAAGCTACAAGGATGAATCATCTTTTAAAGCACACACTCAAGAGTCAGCTACTCAGCTTCACACTCACCTTAGAACACTTCAGGGTGGAAGTGCAATGTGTAATGGCTCTGCTTGGCTAACTGAGCTCTGCACTGCCTTCCTCAATAGCAATGTCTGGCCTTATACAAGCAGCTTTAATAACACAATGCTCCAAAGAGAAAAACAGCTTCAAACAAAATCTTTTTGTTTAATCACTCCAAAACACAGTAAATATTTCAAAAGCACTTAATGATATAAAAGCAAACATGAGAGGCAAAATCCTGCTGATCTGAAAACAATTCTAGCGATGTTTTGTAACCAAAGAGACCCTTTTAAATATTGTCAGACCTCCAGAATGTTCTTATTAGTCCTACTACCGCAGGACCTGTGAGCTCTGGTCAAGTGCTTTGACCTACTGTACAAAGATAATGGAGACAAAACCCACCCTGAAGCAATTTGCAATTAAAACAAGATGAAGGACAATCCAGGGATACAGGCGAGCCAGCAGGGCATTCAAGGTAACCATGATCATCCAGCCAAGAGGTGCCTCATTGTAATCTGCAGATTTTTGATGAGTATCAAACCACCACAGGGAGTTTTATGGAAGGTTTGAAGGAACATACGGACTTTGTGAATGTGCAAGAAAAGTTCCTCCCATAAGGGAAACGCAAGTGTGAATCTAATCAATGTGGGATGGAGATGGGCACTGTGGGCCATATGAATTTGCGAGCCAGCCTTTCGGCAAGCAGAGACATGACCAACTGGACAGGCTATAACAGGTCTCAGTAGCACTGTGGAAGCAAAACCAAGATGTTTGTAGGTGACAGAGAAAGGGACCTTGGTGAATGGATGCCAATAGAAGGACAAGGCAGAGGGTGATGCAGGTACCAGAGGGTCAGGGAAAAGTACAGAAAATGCAATATGAAAGAAACCTGATGAGGGTGCCTTTTTATTTCAGGTTTATAAATGGATAAATAGCTTATTTTGTCTGAAAAGGGAGAGTCCTGTTATCACTTCTCTTCTTCCCTATGTGCAGACAGCATGGAAGGACCTTTGCTACTCATCAAAAACAATATACAAGATTGAAGCAATTCACTGTGCAATCAGACAAGGTCTAAACCTGTCGCAGAGTGGGAAGGTTAGGGGAGGAATTGAAGAGAGGTCTGAATGGAAGAGGACTCTTTCTCAGGAAGAAAGGGAGCATCACCCTTTGAGCCACTGCAAGAAGTCTGGAAAGATAACTGTGCAACACAAAGATACCACTTCATCCTCTTCCCTATTTCTTTTCTCATCTTGATTAGAGACTTGAGGATCAGCTAAATCCATGCTAGATCTGCTCATCCCAGAAACCTGATGTTAAGGTATCAAATGAATTGCTGTTCTTGAAATGGGAAAGAGATGTTTTAGTGGCTTGAATTTTCATATGTGGGTGTAAAAAAAATATACTTATTTTCTTTTTTATATACCAGGAAACACATGGAACCTGGACTATATTTGTCCCAGCCTGCCAGTATTTTAATTTTATAGAACCCAAATCCCTGGGG